AACCGAAACCCTACAGCCTGACCTCCTTTTGATCAACACATATTCCTGGCTCTTTCCCCTGGCTCAACAATGCTAATTAATTAAATGTTTGCTTAGTGACCTAAAAGAGTTAGTACACCTCCCAAAGCTTCAAGCAGACACTAAAAGGAGTTCAAGTTTGGCTATAAAGGGAAAAGGGCACTTCTGAAATGTTAGAATCCTTCTTTACAATAGTATACTGCTATAAAAGGAAAAAAAGGCCCCTAAATAAAACTGAGTCAACTTGAACAGTCCTTAAACAGTTCATACCACTAACCTGGGAACATCGACCGCAGCCAAGTCTAATGAGAGCTTGAATACTCAGCTTTCTAATAGCCCTACCACTTTCCCTTCGTGGCTTCCAGTTTCTCCTTACATTATGGTGTTCTAAATCTATTTTTGTAGCTGGTTTATTACATTTCATTTCCTAACAGTCGGCACATTTTTGTCTGACTGCAGCCATTTTATGAAGTCAGCCACACGTTATCCTATCATCAATTGCCGGGGCTGTGAATCTTCTTGTCGATTGTCAAGGATTTGCTTTTCTCTAGTAAAATGTGCTTTCCTGTCGCAGCTGGACCAGAGATTCATTGTAGCTGAAAAGAGAAGGCTGAGAGGTAGGGCCAGCTACGAGCCCAAACCCAAAGGGAACGCTGTTGGGTCCCATGAGGGGCCAGGATTCCTTCCCGAGACAAGAACAGCGTTTTTCTCAGTGTGTTCCCTCTCAGCGCATCCTTAGGGATTTTTCGCAGGACCAAATTCTGGACTGAAGGAGAGAAAGTGGTACCTTCGGACTCAAGAACAAAGCAATTTTGAAAATCATTGGTCAAACTGATTGTAGAGAAAAAGTTCCTGGTACCCGGCAATAGAGTTCACTAACTTTTATTGAAATAAGCACAGGAAAAAGCAACCTCTACTTTTTCATAGCAGTTTTTACATATTTGAAGGTGTAAAGAGTTCTAGTACAAAAAGAAGACACCGTCGATATTGATAGACATCAAAGAATGATTATGCATTGATGGGATGCTTTGGATATATTATAAATTGATTTGGATGTATACTTAGAATCTTATAAGAATATTGATCGACATGAGAAATTTTCACATTATACAGTAAAGTAGGGTGTTCACTGTAATTGTAAATCACTCCTTTTCATATCCCCTCCATTCTCTTGTTCTCACTCCATCATACTCATTTTACAGAATGTAAGCCCTGGTTAAATCCAACTGTCTTCCTATTCCACACCTGCACCTAAGCATCAGAGAATTGTTAAGGAAAAGCACTCAACCTTGCTCACTGATTTCACCCAATATTTTTAAGCACAAATCTCAAGCAGACCCTCAGCACGTGTCTAGTCATAGTCAGTTGGTTCTCCCACATGCTAAGATATTATTTCAGACCTTCTCTTTATCCAAACTGCAGATACACTCCCTTCACTCCTCACTCCCTCTCGGTTAGACAATCTTCTAATCACCTAATCTGCCTATTGGCCTCCCTACATGTGTGTGTAAATACTCTCCTTTCTCTCCCATGCTTTTATAAGGTACTGTCTCTAATCTTTTGTAAATCCAAACATTTTTCTCAGCCCCTGGATCCTATCCTTTTTTGCTCTTTCAGGATACCGCTCCTGCATTTAACCTGTCACCCACCTGCATCATTTTCCCTCTCTTCCCCTCCCTTCCCCTCCCCTCCCTCCTTCCCTCCTTCTCTCTCCCCTCACTTTATGTATATATGTATATGTGTGTGTGTGTATACACATATATATATCTGCAGAATCACCCTGTCCCATGGTTTAGTACAACACACAAATTATATCTTCAGCTCTGATTTCTCTCCTAAACCATAGAGATTTGTATAAATAAATAAGATTTGTATTAACTGAGCATCTTTTATATATAACGGGAAATTCACATGTATTATGACCAAAAGAGAATTATGTACTCTCCCCTTCCCCCCAGACATCCTCCCCGCCACTATTCTCCTTCTCAGGAAATGATACATCATTGATCCTGCAGCTCACGCCGAAAAACCTGCAGTCATTTTTTACCACTCTCTGTTGCCCACAGCCTATGTCCAATCTGCTAACAAGAACTGTAGTGCTACGCCAAAATACAATTAACAGCAGCCATTCCTTACCAAACACTTCGGTTCACACTTATCATACAGAATAGCTTTCTAATTGGACAAACATTTCTGCTTTCTTCCCCAAAGGTCACTTCTGCACAGTATCCAGTGATCTTTTTGTAAAATATTATTCACGTTATATCACTCGTGACCAAAACCATCCAATGACTTCATACATATTGTAATGTTATCCATTTCATCATATTTTTCAATATATTCATGGTCATATGAGACATAATTCTCTGCAACATTTTTTTAAGATGAATTAATTCTTCCATTCAGCAAATATTTATTGAGTGCCTACAACATTCCAGGTACTATACTAGCCTCTGGAAATACAAGGATGGAGAAGGAAAGAAGCTTGTAAGTAGTTACACTATTTCCTCAGATATCTCACAGCACATTTGTCCTGTTGACAAAAATAATACATGTCCACCACATAAAATTTGGAAGATACAGAGAAGTATACAGAAGAAACGTAATATACTACATGGTTATATTAATATTACTTTCATTTGTCCTCTCATGCTTTTCTGTATTTCACATACTGTATTATCCCTGTGGGCACAGCTTATGTTCTCTTCATTCCTTAGTATCCAGGTCAAGACCCTCCATCCCAACTGGGTTTTGGAATTTACTTCAACCCTGAGCTGGATTCTCAATGGCTGAGATCGCTCTTTATCAAGGTCTTATACCCTAGGGAGCCAAGCTTTACCCTTCTGTCTGCCTTTCTAGAGAAACGTCCCTTGATGTATGTATCACATTAAGTATACCCAGTGGCTACGCTGGATCTATCTCCAACCCTCAATCTAAAAAGCAAGAGAAGCTCCAGACTTCAGGCATGCGTCTTATGGTTCTGTTGATTGAACCTCCAGAGTAAGCAAAGGAGAGGGGTTGGTGGTGGCTGTTCTTTCAGAAAAATAGCCGGATCAGATATCCTGGGGGATTTCTTGGCTGATTCTAAAACTGCCATCAGATTTGTGGGACCATTCATAAATATTAAGAAATAGAAAACTCAAGCATAAGCACGAAAACTTCAAATAAAATCAAGAGCCCTGTGAGAATGTAGTTTTGCGGCACAACTACTGCACAGTCTGGAGTCATAAAAGAGAAGCACCAGGGAAATGATTAACTAGGACTGTAGTGACAGTAAGTCAGAAAATACATTTTCTCTTCAAAGGCAGAGAATCTGATAGCCCTGAAAGATATAGTGCAATGCCACACTCCTCACGGACACCAATTTAAATCCAAGCAGGGTCAGCTGTCAGAGCAGAAGTCATTTGCGTCCAATAGCGTTTTATTAGCACGTGTGAAATGTTTCAAAGTTCTGAACCCCATTCTTAGCAGGTATGACTACATCGACAAGAACGTGGTGGAAAGGGATACATTAGGAGTTTGGGATGAACATATACACGCTACTTATATACAAAATAGATAATCAACAACAGGTCTGCTATACAGACCTACTGTATAGCACAGGGAACTCTACTCAATATTCTGTAATAACCTATATGGGAAAAGAACCTGAAAAAGAGTGGATATATGCATATGTATAACTGAATCACTTTGCTGTACACCTGAAACTAACACAACACTGTAAACCAACTACACTCCAATATAAAATAATTTAAAAAATAAATTTAAGAAAGAATATTACTCAATTTGCTCTCACTTGGCACTCCAACAGCAAACATGTCCATATAACACAAGAGACTAGCAAATAATGAGCAGTGGAGAACCTCAATTTTATAATAACTATAATAATAGCAATAGCAAGGTGTTTTTGTACCTTGTATTTATGTACTGCTTTGCATTTTATAAACAACTTTTATGTTTATGATTTCTTTATTTCTTTTAGCAACTCTATGAAATTAACTAGTTTACAAATTATTATTGCTTTTATTTTATGGAGGTAGAAAATTGAAGTTCAGATTTGCTAAGTAACTTGCACCTTGATTTGTCACCTAAACTCAAATCCTAACCATACCAGAAGTGAACTAGGACTCTAACCCAGGCCTTCTGATTTCAGGTCTACTGTTCTTTCTCAAACAGCATGTTGTCTCTTTTAAGGGCATTTGTAACAACTGAGTTCTTTAGAAAATAGTAATTTCATCAATTGGACAATTTAGAGAATAAACCATTGTCCAGACATTTTTTCCCTAGCATAGAAATATTATGTTCTTTCATATTAAAGCAATTATGCAGTACTTTCAGAATAATCAGCTGAGCATGCTATGATTATTCACTGTAGATAATGTATATTTGTTCTTCCCTCAAGTTGATAATAATAAAACCAGTAATTAAATAACAGCAAATGTTTATTGATTGCTTGACATGTGACAGTATTTTTAAACCTCATAACAACTTAGCAAAATGAACATGATACCCTATTTTTCAGATAGAAACTCAAGCATAAAAAAGGTTAAGTAACTTGAATAAGCCCAGAGAAAAAGTAGCAGAGCTGGGATATCGATCTGATTTCAAAGCTTGCACTCAATCATTACACTTTCACCAAGAGGATAAGAAGCACATAGCAGAATCACTAAGGAACCTTCTCTGAGAATGGTACAAGGAACACCAAACTTTGAAAATCTTCATTAGCTTTTTTTTTAGGGTTCATCTGATCAGAGAAAATATGCAATATTATTATCTCAAGTACTATGCTATTTTCCCAGGAAAATGATCCAGTAGTATATATTTTATAAATACAACTAACGTGATATACTGAAACACCAAAGTGTGATATCAATTTAACAGCAAACATTCATCGAGTAAATACTGAATGCAAATTACTGTGAACTCTATGGTCTTAGCAATACGAGGAATTTGAGATTAAAAAAATAAATAAATGGACATACCTGCAGTCTTGGAGAGCCCTTGGAGGAACTGTTGCAAGCTACAACAAAACACAAATGAAATACAAGTTGTGAAAGCCATGGTTCTCAAATTTCAGTGGGCATTGGGAGCACCTGGAGGGCTTGTTAACAAATAGACTGTTGAGCCCCACCCCTTGAGTTTCTGACTCAGAAAACCTGTGAGGAGTCTGAGAATTTGCATTTCTAACAAGTTTCCAGGTGATAGCATGTTGCTTGGTCCCGGGGCCACACTCAGAACCCCTGTGATAGAGGTTCAACAGAATTGTAAGAGAGCATAGAGGAAGGTGTGATAAGCCTTCCAAAGCAGAAGCAAACTTCATGGAGGACTCAGCCTTTGAACTGTGCTTTGACAAAGAAGCAGAATTTCAGATATTGACAGATAATTGCTTCAGTCTCAAGAAGAGGCATAATCCTTCAGGCTCTTCTTTCTCTCATCTTAGTGATTTGGTGATTCTACTCTTGCAGAATGAAATGAAAATTATGAAACCATGTCTCCTTGCCCAACAACTCAGTATACTTTGATGTTTTCTTGGCTTCAACCAATGTACTGACACTTCCGAAAGGAATGAAAGAACAGTTTTAGTGCATTTTAAGCCTTATTAAATTCCTTCTTTATTCCATGGCAAATAATTCCAATTTCCTCTGAAACTGTATGTTTTGTTTTACTTGGTCCTCACCTGACTCTTACATTCTAGGGATGATTAAGAATGTGAATGAGGTGTTGGTCAAGTTTTCTTTTGCAGTCTTGTTTGATTGTAATGGCTGAAATAGTCACAACATCCCAGGTGAGTATTCTTACTCTTATCCCAAGAGGTGAAAAAAATAAATGGAAACATTTTTAAAAGCATTTAAACCGTGTGCTGGAGCTGGAGAATAATCAAAGGGATAAAATACTGACTTGTGAGAACTGTTTTGTTCCCAATCCTTCTATCATTTTACCACATGATTCTAAAGAAGTAATTTGAGTTCTCACTGCTCTCATTTTTGTATTTGTAATAGGGATAATATTTGCAATGAGGCTTAATTAATGGTTGAAAATGATTTTGAGGTCACTGGGAAAGAAGAATAAAATACTATTTCTCTTTACTGAATTTTGGAAATCAAACTATCAAACAAGAGGAATTTATATTCTTTCAGAAACCCTTAAAAAGGCATTTTCCTACTACTAAGTTGCTCATTGTCATGACAAATGTATATTAGACTCCAATATTATCAAGTACGTACAATCATTTCTACTAATGCTTTTTATTCCATATCTCTTGCAGATGGAACAACCAGGTGGAAGATAATTCAAGTGCTATCAGTCTAAGCATTAGAAAACTTTTTCCATAAAGGGCCAGGTAGTAAATATTTTAGATTTTGCAGGCCACATAGGAGCATGTGATCACAATGATCATGCTCATGAGTCATGATGAAAAGGGGGACAAAGTATCACCACTAATCATTATCATTTTTAATTTTCCCATAAAAAGCATCAGCATCCCTTCCCTCTTCTTTTACTTACTCAGATTTAGTCAGTAATAAATATTGAGGTAGAATTCACTACATAAATCTTTGCTTTGTTATAAAATGAATTTTTTTTTTTTTAAATAATACTGTTGTTTTCAAGTTCTGTTTGGCTTCCCCAAAATAATTAAATCAAGCTGGTTGATTTCAGTATCCCAAATGCAAACCATTCTGTTTCATTCACATTTTCTATTTTGTTTTGCCTACTGCTTTATTACTTGTATTTCCTCATGAGGCTTTAGAGAAAATAATGTTCTTCCTTCAGTTGTGCAAATTGAAAACTTATTTTTAAAGAGCTGTGTCCCAGCAATTTTGATTATCCTACATTCTATTCCTCTCTTCATTTATTTAAAAAGAAAAAGACTATACATAAGCCCCCATCTCTCTCCTGAGTGTTGTAGAAGCCTGTTGTATTCTTATTAACACTTTTACACACACTTCATTTTGTTTCCTTATTGCAGTGATAGCTTACCTTCCTGTTTACTTTAGTGTTTACACCTCATTTAAGAAGTTTTGTCTAAAGTGCTTTATATAAAGATTCTTAATTGGGTCTCCTTTTTAAAAGATATAAAGTAGAAATTGAGAGTTTCACAATTTAAGTTACAAAAGTTTCCAAAATGGTAAGTCGTTTAAAGATTTTGCTACCTTGTGGTTATAATTAAGATTTTTAAGACTAAGAGCTTCTCCTTTAACTGAGATGGACTTCTACACCAAGTTCCTCAAAAATTCATATAAATCAATAAAACATTTCTTATTTTAGGCTAATATAAAAGTAATTATATTTAGTATTATACTACAGAAAGTGTAAAAGACACTTATTTTTAGTATTTGAGTATAATTTCACAACTTATTACAAAGTTCTTTTTTTTTTTTTTTCTATCCCTGCAATGTGGACTTCAGAAATAAGCCTATCAGTCCTGGGCACAAGGAAGTCACACTGTCATATTTTCCTCCAGTTCCTGTCATAGTTGGAAATCAAGCAATCATAGAAATGTCTTTGCAGTACTATGATATAGCATTATGTCCTCAGCTTTTATTGAGGGCTGATATAATAATGGGCTCTATGAAGAAACTTTTGATAAAACTGCTACTGAAGACACCTCTCATTATATTGTTCGATGTCCCTATAAAAATTATCCAATTTATGTTTTTCTCAAGGTTCCAAGCAAGAAAGGGATTTACCATTTTGATGATTTTATTTGATCTCTTTCATATAGTTTAAAAAGAGTTATAAACTAATAAACAAATTCAGCAAAGTTGCAGGATGCAAAAACAATACACAAAAATCAGTTGTGTTTCTATAAACTTAACAATGAACAATTCAAAAAGGAAATTAAGAAAACATACCCAGGGAGATTGCCTATTTTCAAGTCACTTAGTTCTTCTGGGTTTTTAGCTTGTTCCTTCCTCTGAAACATATTCCTCTGTCACCTCATTTTGTCTAAATTGCTATTTGTATTTTTATGTATGTGGTAGGTTGTTTACGTTTCTCAACCTTGACAGAGAAATAAAAATATCATATGATATCACTTATATGTGAAATCTAAAAAAATGATACAAATGAACTTATGTACAAAACAGAAACAAACCTACAGACTTAGGAAAAAAACTTATGGTTACCAAAGGAGAAAGGTGAGGGAGAGGGATAAATTAGGAGGTTGGGATTAACATATACACACTACTATATATAAAATAAGTAAACAATAAGGACATACTGTATAACACAGGGAACTATACTCAATGTCTTATAATAATCTATAATGGAAAAGAATCTGAAAAAGAATATATATATGTATGTGTGTGTATATATATATATATATATATATATATATATATATCTGCATCACTTTGCTGTACACTTGAAAATAACACAACATTGTAAATTAACTATACTTCAATTTTTTTTTTAAAAAAAGAAAGCATTCCCATTTTCAATAGCATGAAAAAGAATAAAATGCTCAGGAAGAGAGTTAACCAAGAAGGTATAAGACTTGTACACACTGATTAGAATTTCTTTTTTAAAATATTACTGTATTTTCATTCCTCTAATTTACTGATGTTTCTTCATTGTAGCAGTGGAAATAAAAAAGTAAAATTTCTCCATGCACAAAAGGTGTCCAACTGATGGAAAGTAATGCAGGAGGGACGTCTTTCAGTTGGTGAAAATTTCTAAATATGCCTGCCTGCTGAGGTCAGCCATCAGTGAAACTTCAAAGCGAATTCCAGTGCCTGAGCTGGTCCATCATGGGCCAGGAGGAGTGAGTGTTGGGGAGGAACCCTTCCCCTCCCCGGTGTTCATCCCTGGCCCAGGGACTTTGGGGGAAAAAGTTGCCCAGGTCCTGGGTCCCCGCCCTAGCCCTGGGCCAAGAAATGGGGAGCAGGTGAATGGGGAGGAAGCCATGGGCCTGGGGGTCCAGCAATGAGTCCCCGCCATCACCCTGGGATCCGGATGCATCCTGCTCACTAGAAGGTCAGTTGTCCTCGAATTTCTTAAATTAAAAAATTTTTATCATACAAAGTGATGATGAGGCTGTGAAGTAACTAGAACTCTCATGTGCTGCTGATCAGAATGTAAAATGTCACAAGCACTTTTGAAAACAGTTGGGTAGTTTCTTAAATAGTCAAATATACACATACCACGTGACCTAGCTATTCCAGTCCTTGTATTTACCTAAGAGAAATGAAAGAGTGTGCCCATACAAAGTCTGGTGTCTTATTCAGAACTTTATTAATATAAGCCAAAACTCAAAATATCCTAAATATCCATCAACAGGGAAGCAGATAAACAGACTGAGGTTTATTCATAGAACAGAATACTACTCATCAATACAAAGGAATAGGCTATTGGATGAACCTTTGTTAGAGAGTCCAAGCTCATACCACTCACTGCAGGACAGGTCAATAAATGGAGTTATGATTTGTTGGGGAAAGAAATAGGGACTTTATCTGGAAAGCCAGCAGACTGAGAAGATGGTGGACTAGTGTCCCAAAGAACCATTTTACTCAAGTCAGAATTAAGGCTTCTTTTATACTAAAAGGTGAGGGGATGTGGCTGGCTGTTGCAAACTTTTTGGTGCAGGAATCCTTTGCTCTTGCAGCTGTCAGTGTAGGTCTGGACACAATGTTCCTATAAACCTCCAACAAGACAAGTGTTATTTTCTGTTCTGCAAATAAGTGTTATACCTTTAAAGGTCAGAACCTTGAGAATGGGTTAGCATGTGTGTTTCAGGGTAGAGGCAACATTCCTTTAAAAGGTGCAAAGCCAGCGTGACTACACACAGGCGACAAAGCACAAGGGTTAGAGCTAATGGAATAGATCCAATATGGAGTCAGGTTTGTTGTTCTCTGCTACACTTTGATATAATTATGGTGAGTGAACATAGCCAGAAAAAAAAGAGTACAGACTGTGTGATTCCATTTATATAAAACTCTATGAAATGCAAACTAATCAACAGTGACAGAAAGAAGATCAATGGTTGCCTGGGGATGGAGGTGGTGTGGAAGGGGTGGGTGG